GTGGAGGGGTTGTTACCTTTTCTTGCACCTTCCTGAGTAGGACTACAAGCATTGACACATTCTGATGTAGTCACCACAGTAAAACCACAATGATCAGCTGCTGCTGGAGCATCCACACATCCACAGTCAATTCCTACAAAAGGGTTGATGCAATAAAACTGGAGAGTGAACATCTGGTGCAGCTGTGCATGGTAGCCAATCAGCTTCTAACTTCAGCTTGTTCAATTAACCGCAGAAGTACTGCTATAGGGTGGCAGGGATGCGCAAAATCACACATATACCTGTATATACATGATTTACATCTCCATGTAGGGGGCACGCATGCTCCCTACCCACGCCGCTACTGGTTCCTCGGTATGTCAATCATGCCTGGCCGTGGACTCAGTGATCGTCAGTGGAGCTGACAAGGGAGAGCTCTGTGTGTAAACAACAGAGATCTCTCCCATCAGCACAAACATGCTGCTTTGCACTGCTCTGCACAGCACAGCAATACAAAGCAGCAAGTCTACATAGTAAAACAGCACACTGTTAACCCTTTGATCGCCCCAGATGTTAACCTCTTCCTGCCCAGTGTCATTAGTACAGTGTCAGGGCTTTTTACTGTACTGATCACTGTATTAGTGTCACTGGGGATGTCAGTGGAATTTAGTCAGTTCCCAACCAGTGTCAGAATGCCTGCTGCAGTCTCGCAGTCCCGCAATAAGTTGCTGGTCGCCTCCATTACTAAAAAAAAAAATTCCAGCGTATATACCGCCATTTGTAGACGCTATAACTTTCACGTAAACCAATTAATTTACACATATTGGTGTTTCGTTTTTTAGCAAAGACATTGAGCAGAATACATTTTGGTCTAAATTTCTGAAGAAATTTTATTTGTAAAATTTTTTTACTGGATAGGTTTTATAGCAAAAAGCCAAAAATATTGTTTTATTTTCAAAATGATCGGTCTTTTTTTGTAGCGCAAAAAAAATAAAAACCACAGAGGTTTTCAAACACCACCAAAAGAAAGCTCCATTTGTAGGGGGAAAAAAAATGACATAAATTTAATTTATGTACAGCGTTGCATGACCGCACAATTATCAGTTAAAGTAACGCAGCACCGCATTGCAAAAAATGGCCTGGTCAGGAAGGGGGGTAAATGCTCTGGAAGGCAAGTGGTTAAACTTTGACAAAAAAACCTGGAAGCTGGCTGGCTTCTGTGCAGAACTGCACCAGATTTTGCACTCTCCAGTTTTAGTAAATTAACCCCAAATGGTCTAACAGATGTGCACAGCACAGAGTGAGCAAATAATCAACCAAGTAAAGGGAAACCTGCATACATCTCTGTTCCATGTACAATGCTCTACAAACCTAGTATTCTATTGTGAAAGTCTATTTCTATTTAAGCCACTTGTGCAGATCTCATCCTAATATATTTACTTTCCTAGATACACAGGATATAACTGGTTACTAACATTTATAGGTAAAGTTGATCCAGGGAATATCCGATTTCCTTTCGGGGGATCAGGAAGCAATTGTTTTCCCTGCAGGAGCAAATTGGATCATACTTTGCTGGGGGTTTTTTTTTTGCCTTCCTCTGGATCAACCGTGGGTATAGGTTTATAACTTTTTTTTCCTTTTTTTTTTTTTGGTTGAACTGGATGGACTTTTGTCTTTTTTCAGCCAGACTAACTATGTAACTATGTATGTGATTGTAATCTATTTCTTCTGTACTTATGGATCATGCTATACATCTATGCTGCAAAGCTTCTCCATTTCTTTTTTATACTTTCATTATATCAGCCTTTCAATCTTTTTACCCCAGAGGAACCCCTAAAAAATGTCCATATTTTACAGAAACAATTTATCAAAGATAAATGGGAAAAATGTCCCTGACATTGGTGGTCAATGGGAACAATGCCACCTTTTACATAGGTGGTCGGACAAGTGAAAATATCATTGGTGTCATGCTGCTGGCTCTGCCAGGTGGTGTTTGAACCTGGAACTGTGTAGGCACCATCAGATCAGGTCAATCAACTTAAGGAACGCAAAGCAACCTCTGGGAGGTACTCTAGGTTTCCATGGCATCCTGGTTGAAATTGGCTGCAGTATACTGTATAGGAGAGTGCTGTGGTCTCAGGACCTGGAAGCAATCCTGGGAAGCTATTTGCAAAACTGTCTTTATCCGTAGTGAACAAAAATAACATATTCAAGGTGGGAGTGCAGGGACCTGTCCCTATACTGCAGTACAGCACATACTCACTAAGTGCACTGCTCATACTGGCCAATCCACAGACTCTTCAACACCCACATAAGACATTTCTAAATGTGCTTAACCACTTAGCGACTGCCTGCCCACAATGCAGGCAAAGCTACGTACCTGTACGTTGCTACCTACTTCCCCGCAGCAGCACCTGCTGTGACTGTACATGGCAGGAGCCTGTCAACAAGTCCCAGCCAATAATTCACGGTCGGGGCCTGCTGATTGGCTGTGTAAAATCACAGTCCAGTGCTCTGTGTTGACAACCAACATAGAGCTCTGTACAGATGGAGCAATCTCTGAAACGTAGAGATCTATTAGTAAAATCAGCACACTTTACACAGTTAGGCACACATTTAACCCCTTGATTGCCCTAGATGTTAACCCCTTCCAAACCAGCGTCATTAGTACAGTGACACTGTACAATATTATAACTGATCACTGTTGTAATGTCACTGCTAATGTGGCAGTTATTCAGTCCCCCCCCCCCAGTGTCAGTTAGTGTTAGATTGCCCTCTGCACTACTGCAGTCCCATTATAAGTTGCTGATCACTGGTGTTAGTAGTATAAAAAAAAAATAATTCTAGTATACAGTATATCACCATACTTTGTAGGCCCTATAACTTTCACGAAAACCAATCAATATACCTTAATTGGGATTTTGTTTCTTTTAATCAAAGACATGTAGCAGAGTACATTTTGGCCAAAATTTATGAAGAAATTTGATTTACTACATTTTTATTGGATATGTTTTATAGCAGAAAGTAAAAAATATAGATATAGATTTTTTTTAATTTTGGTCTTTTTTCATTTATATCACACAATCCCCCCCCCCCCCCCCCCGAAAAAAAAAAAAAAAAATGACCAGTGGTGATCAAATACCACCAAAAGAAAGCTCTATCTGTGTGAAAAAGGATATAAATTTTGTTTGGATACAGCAATGCATGATCACACAATTACTAGTTAAATTAGCGCAGTGCTAAATAGCAAAAAATTGCCTAGTCATGCAGGGGGTTAAATCTTCCAGAGCTCAAGTGGTTAAAGAACATCCACAGGTAGGTCTAAACTAAAAGGGTTCATTCAAACCACAACACACATCACAACAAATCTTACAATAACACACTGTATAGGCAGGCTGTGGTGCACTGCCTTGCCATTTATTGTGCATTGCACTACACATATACAGTACACTGCAGTACGCCTGCACTACAGTGCACTGTTGCAAACATTCTGCTCATTACATTTAGAAAAAACTATTTGTGCATTGAAAGTCTATTTCAAAAACATATGCTGAAGCACACTCCATTCTGGTGTCTGTGGGCCTAATAACCTCATGAACACAGGCACCTGGGATCACAGAATGTAACATTCAGGCATATTTCCCCCACCTTGGAGCCAAAGGTGCTGCATACAGCCACCCACAGAAGTCAATGATGGCACATGGGTAGACACTGGTACTTGCATAAATAAAATCATGTGTACGGACCTACGACCCTGGATGCATGATGATGGTTTCTGTAGAAATCCTCCTGCTCTTCGTTTTCACAAATCTAGAGGGGATCTTCACACACAAGCATCCAAGAAGTTAAGTCATGCAGCAGCATCAGAATTTCAGCACTGTGAAGAGGACCGGCATCAGTGAGGAGTGGATTTTTACAGGAACCATTCCCATGCAGGGCATGGGATAGACTTCTTTACAGGTAAGTAATATTCCTGGTGTTTTTTTCCCAAAGAATATTTTTTTCACTAAGCTTGAGCTTTAAAATGGTTATTAATGCACATTTAGAGCAGGGAGAATTATAGTGGATTGTGCGATTCTTAACTCCTGAACAAAATAAAAGATAAATCACCAAACATTGTTTATTATACCAGTACATTGATATACTGGGAGGAGCAGGAGGAAGAGGAGGAGGAGGAGGAGGAGGAGGAGAAAAAAAGGAGGAAAAGGAGGAGGAAAAGGAAAAGGAAAAGGAGGAGGAAAAGGAGGAGGAAAAGGAGGCTCCTCTCCTGTACTAAAATTTCTTACTCTAATTTTACTGTACAATGAGCTCATGGAGGCTCAGTCTCATAATAATTTTGTAAAGCGCTCAGCAAACTGTTGGCGCTATATAAATCCTGTATAATAATAATAATAATAATATGCAAGCATTACCTAGTCTGGTCTTATTGCAAATGGAGTTTGCCTACAAACGTCCACTCCACCAGCCTGACATCCACCCATCAAGGCATTTGGATATTTGTTTAACTTCTGCCAGGAGCCAGCCCACGTCTTGATTCTGGGTTTAGGGGTTTTGAGATTAGTATGGAAGCCATGATCTGTTTGCAGTTCAAAGGGAAACACAGAGACCCAGTGATGATGTCATTGGATCTAAATAAGATATGTAGTGACAACAGAAAGGTTTTATTGCAACATTTATTTAGTATGTTGATAAGGGGAAGAAGAACCAGGTAAGGAAAAATATAAACATATTAAACTTTTATTTTAAGTCCTGCTGAGACAATCAATACAGCTTCCTCCTCACAGTTGCAATTTTTTTTCTTGCTCTCAGTTGTCTCAGGAAACAGGTGCAAGTAGTTCAATTACATCTATATAACTGGATGCCTCAGCTGCTTGCTGCCAGACAATCACAAGAGAATTTAGATGATTATCTGCTTCATTGAAGGGAAAACTTGAAATCAAGACAAATCTGTATATGCAAGGAGAAACCTTTTAAAATCATTTTCAAGTGAGAAAAATAATTAAACATGTCATACTAAAGTTTTACTCCTCCAACAGTAGCTTCAGATGAGCCAGTATTTCATTGCCCGTAGACCATACACTTATGGAGGAATCAATTATTTCGATCTCCTTAGCAATACGCTTTTGCAGTGAATAACCTTCCCGCGGCATCGCAATATCTCCCTTCTTCAGGAAAGTTACCGGGCAAAGATCATTGCTGCCATCGCCAATATAAACTATTTTAGAATATTGAGCCCCATTGGTGGTCTGCTTGGCTACAAATTCTTCTAATACTTTCCTTTTACATAGGTTCTTGGGGCAGGATGAGCAGTGATGGACATGAAAATTCTGGACGGTGAGGTTCCCGAACCGATCAAAGGCTGCAGGGTTGGTAAATACTTGATCGAAAACGTTGTGAACATTTGCGTGCGTCAGAATCCAGTCAATAAAGATGGTATTTGAGTCAGAGATGATGATGCAATCGAAGTGATCCTTGTTCTCTCCAATGAAATGGAGAAGCTCAGTCATGCCTGGCGTATATGGTATGGCAATCATAATTCTTTTCATGTCATCTTCTCGAATACCCTGTTCTCCAAGGTAGGTGAAAATCCTGCCCATATACTCTGTCCATTTTCCCTTCTCATATGAATTTTGCAACACATTCGGGAGCGTTTTATCTGGGGCGCACTGGACAATCCATGTGTCGCTGTTATCATTTACAATTGTGTGGTCAAAATCAAAAACTAGCAGTGTCTTCATCTCTGTGACTGGGCTGATGCCTTTGAGTTGGCCTGCAGGAAAAGAAAAAACCACCACAAAGTAAACATGTTGTTGAATGGTTATCACTTTGTCTGTCACACAAGGTATAGAGCAAAATGCTTTAAATGCTTTTGTTACATGCCAAGCAGATTCTTTCAGTAGAGATGAGCTTGGGTTTGGTCTGAATCCGGAAGTAAAGCCTCGTGCACACATACCGAAACTCAGCCAGTTCAGCAGGACCAGCATGACCAGCTTCTAATGAACGGTCATGCTGGAAAACCAACATTTGATCTGTGTATTCTGATGGGAAGGGGGGGAGGGGAGAGAGTGCCTGCTGTCAGAATACAATAGCACTGCGGGGGAGATCTCTGCATCCACATCACTTATCAGGATGCAGGCATCTGTCACTTTGCTTTTCATTCAAACTACTGTCTAACCTATAAAAAAAAAACTGTGTGCATGTATACGCATCTTTCGCAGTTACTGATAGGCCAATAAGTTGCGGGGGGAAAAGTTCCCACCCTGCAGCTGCATGTATACAAAGGGATGGGAATGCGTACAACATCATTGACCTATCATGGCCTCATATGGGCCCTTAATCCTCATTGGTGGTTTTCTGACTATTTTTTAGTATCCAGCTGGATACTAGCAGTGACCTTAAAGCTGAATTACAGGAATTCCACTCCTTCATGAAACATGAAGGCACACTATGAGTTAAAGTGGAGTTCCACTCACCCTGTCAAAAAATAAAAGTCAGCAGCTACAAAAACTGTAGCTGCTAACTTTTAAAAAACAGCCACTTACCTGTCCCTCGGTCTCGCGATGTGTCCCCTGCAGCCCATTTCACCGGCCGTCCTGTATTCCAGGAGGCCGGCATCTTCAGTGTGGGCACCCGGCTGTGACAGCTTGCGGCTTCACAGCCGGGTACCCACTGCGCATGCGCAAGCAGCGCTGAGCTTCATGAATGGTCCTGTAGTCTTCTGGAACCTGTCACGTGTCCCAAAAGACTACAGGGAGGGAGGACACCTTCTGCTTCCGATCGCCTAGGCCAGGGGTAGGCAACCTGCGGCTCTCTAGCTGTTGTAGAACTACATTTCCCATGAGGCATTGCAACATTAGAAAACTGACAGTTACAGCTATGACTTGCAGAGGCATGATGGAACTTGTAGTGCTGCAACAGCTGGAGAACCGCAGGTTGCCCACCCCTGGCCTAGGTGATTGGACCAGAAGTGGGAGCGGGTACCTGTAAAATTCGGGTACCAGCTCCCCCTGCCCCCCAAAGATGCCAATCCTTAATGGGGATCGGGGGAGCAGTCCTTAAAGCGGAACTTCCCCTTTTGGGTGGAGCTCCGCTTTAAGTCCAAGGATGTGTATGACACCTTCTGGACTTATCACTATTACTTATATCTGACAGGTTTATAGTACTCCTAGAAATCTGCTATTGCTGTATTTCCAGGAACCCAATACTCATCCTTCTGATCTCTGCATCTTTAACAGTCTAGTCGCTGCAGTTGCCTTGTCTGCCCCTCCTTCCTCCTGCACAATCATAGAATCCTTAGTATTATGTGAACACATTCACAAAATACAAAGTCTTCTGTGAATGGGAAGCAGAGGGGAGAGGAGGGCACAGCTGCTCTGTGTGCTTCTCTCCCCTCTCAGATCCCAGAGTGTCTCTCTGGCAGAGGAAGAAACCTGTCATCTGTAAATAATAAAGATAGATCCAGGATGTCATGCACCTCCTTGGACTCAACTCACAGTGTGCCTTCACTTTTTAAAAAGTGGCTGAAATCTTGGAATTCAGGTTTAACACAAGACCTATTAAGGTCCATTTAAAAAAAAAAACACCTGAAGAGAGACAGTTTCCAGAATGGTTTTACATTCACGACACAAAGAAATTAGGCATTTATAAAGGCCAAAGGGGGTTCCTACTAGACCAGGGGTGGGCAAACTTTTTGACTTGAGGGCCGCAATGGGTTCATATATTGGACCCGGGGGCCGGACTAGCTGCTGGCCAGCCCAGCCACTACCATGCCATCCATAGTAAGTATAGTAATATTCCCCCATAGTAATTCATCCCCCATATAGTAATTCATCCCCCATAGTAATTCATCCCCCATATAGTAATTCATCCCCCATCCCCCATATAGTAATTCATCCCCCCATAGTAATTCATCCCCCATAGTAATTCATAATTCATCCCCCCTATAGTAATTAATCCCCCATATAGTAATTAATCCCCCATAGTAATTCATCCCCCATAGTAATTCATCCCCCATATAGTAATTCATCCCCCATAGTAATTCATTCCCCATATTGTGTCAATTCACTTACCTTTGCTCCGCACGTTCCTCTCGCCGTGTTCCCGCGCCGTTTCGGTCTTCAGGGCGGACTGTGAGAGGAGAGGAGTTCGTCACGCTGCCCCGCCTACATCCTGACAGCCAATGTTTGCCACGCTCCGCGGGCCGGATTAAAAGGTCCGCCGGGCCGTAGTTTGCCCATTGCTGTACTAGACCCAAGATAGAAGTGGCAAAAGAGTGTACAGCTGGCCATTCACCAGTTGAATTTCACTCTAATATTTTTGCCTTGGGAACGTCTTTTCAATTTTAGTGGGTTAAACCAAAATTCATTTTCAAACCATAGTGATAAGAAATTTTAAAGAAGCAGGATGGATAAAAATCTTTCAAACTAAACTCTAACTGTGAATGTGGCTTTCATTCAGTGAAACAAAAACATACATATTGTAATAAACCTATTTTACACAGTTCTGGATGAAATTTAAAGGTATAGTTCACCTTTACCAAAAAATGCCTATGCAGGTAGAGATAAAAACAAACTGTGCAGCTCTGATGAAGTTGAATTAAGCCCTTCTTATATGTGTAGGCCATTTACTTACCTCATGAAGCCTGACTGAAAAATTCTCAGAGATTACATCATCCAATCCTGCCGTGTTTTCACTAGGATGTTGCTAAGACGCTCCCAGCTGTTACTGTTCACATCCACCATCACAGGAGTGAGATCTCAAACGCTTAGCTCAGACCTACTGGAGGAGATTTACTAGAGCTGGAGCACTCAGAATCTTGTTCAGTTGTGCACGGTAGCCAATCCGCTTCAGCTTTGACAATAAAACCTGGAAGCTGATCAAGATGGCGGCTCCAGCACCCGACAGCCGAATGAAGAATCAGCTCGGGGTGAGGATACCACTGGCCCTGGATACCTTACCTAAATACCCTAATATTAAAAGTCAGCAGCTACAGTATTTGTGGCACTGACTTTTAATTTTTGGGAGGGGACGGAACGGAACTCCTCTTTGACTTCAGCTTGTTCTGTTAAGCTTTGGCAATAAAACCTGGAAGCTGATTGGTTCCTATGCATAGATGCACCAGATTTTGAACTCTCCAATCTTAGTAAATAACCCCACTGTGTCAGGGGAGAGAAAAGAACATGTGAGGGGGTTTGAATCAGAGAAAGAACTCACTCCTGTGATGGTGGAGGTGAACAACAACAGCTGGACGTGTCTTAGCAACATCCTAGCAACAAAACAGAACAGGAAGATGCCTTCTCTGAGAGTTTTTTTTACTCAGGCTTCTGAAGGTACCTAAATGGTTTACACCTATTAGGCCCCATCTACACGGGACACTTCTGAACAATGGAAACTGACTGCTGGAAAACGTAGGTTAAAAAATGTCTGTTTAGCCGCGTTTGCATAACGCATTTATAAGCGTTTGTGTTTAGAAGTATTTTTTAAAGATACGCACAGAAGAACCTCCCAAATGCCAAGAATACACAGAAAAGTGGTAAATTATTAACTATTTCAGACTGTTCCAGAGAAATACAGAGAGTAGAAGCAGAGACAGCAGTAGGTGTTGAGATTAGCTTAGGTGTGAGTTGCTCATTAACATTTCTTTTGTTTTCAAGGGTGGGAAAGGTGTCTGGTGGAGTCCGTCATTAAAGTCACCTGGCAGGGGGTCCTCATGAGGAATTTGAGGTGTGAATGTTCATTAACATATCTTTTGTTTCCAAGAGTGGGAGAGTTCTGATGTGTGAATTGGACGAGATTGGTAGGAACATCCTGTGTTCAGTGTTTTGTCCATCTGAGTACCTTGAAAACGCTTTGCATGCATTTTTCATGATAAAAAAAGACTCTGGACAGCATCGGTTTCAAACGCAAACCCTTATAAATGCGATTTGCCACGTTTACAAGCATTTTGCGTTTGAAACGCTGATAAAATCGACTGCTGAACGCAAGTTTTCTGCGTTAAAAAAAACGACTGTAAACTCTAATGCCTGTAAACGAAGATGTGTACATGGACACATAGGAAAACATGAGGGTGAGTTCAGGGGCTGCTGAAAAAAATGCTGAACAGCTCCTAAATGTGAGTTTATCAACTGCAGTGTACATGAGCCCTAACAAAAGCATTATTGAGACCTATTCAGTTTGTTTTCATCTACACCTATGTGCCCCTTTCCGCCATAAGCAGTGTTTGGTAAAGATGATCTATGCCTTTCAGTGCTTTTGAACAAAATCATTTGACTCAGTGATAGCAATAATTTAACCATGTATTGCCTATTAATGTAGTCCATATAAACAACTGTGAAGTTCTGCAGCAGCGCACGTACAGTACAAGAAACAAGCACAGTATGTGTATACAGCATATGATCATTAGCATCTGACCTGGTAATCTATAACCAAAGCAGATCAAAGTACCTTAGGTAGACTGTAACCCTTGAATGATAATCTAACACATAGAAGATACCTGCTGCTTGGAATCATACAGCTCTGACTAATAAACATGGTATCAGTCATACACTAAAGTCACCGACGGGGATTCTACAATGACTTCTAATGCTAAAACAAAGTTTTCAGCTTGAAAATGCAGAACGTGTGCACCACAGGTATATACTTTTACAGCTACCCAAAAGGAATTCATGACAGTTCAGAATGTTTAATGACATGTTGCCATAACAACATTACATTGGTAATAATGATAATGTTTTCTAACCGATAACAGCAATAAATGTAACAACGTTTTGTAATATTACCTAATCATGGTGCACCACAACAGAAATACTCATACTGACTAGCATTAGATTAGACTTAAAGTGGAACTACACTCACCTCCTCTACCATGCTGTGATGTCCCAGAGCTTACCGCTGGACAATGACATCTTCAGCCTGGTGGTTACTGGGTATTCAATCCCCAGCCACTTCTACTGGCCAAGCCACGATGACGTCATTCCTGTGAATGCGCAGGAGTCCTGTCATCTTGATATTGCCAAAATTCTTACACTGAGCTCCATGTCAACTAGATAGAAAAGGCCTCAAATGTGGCCCCTGACATCACCAAAGGGCCATTCACAATATTAACCTCCCTGGTGGTCTAACTAATCAATATTTTTGAATGTCAAAGCGGTACATTGTTTTTCATGGAAATTTGTTGTTTTATATTGTAGGCCTGTAATTCTTAGGAATAACTCACTTAAATCTGTCCAAACAAGAGTCTAGTAAACATCCCGGGTATGATAAAGTTTGAAACACGAAATCATAACTTATAATATAATACATAATTATAAAAAATAATAATATAATAATAATACATTTAAATTCAATAATGTAATCAAACCAAAAACACTGAAATTTGAAATAGAGCGCCAAGTTCGTACATCACTGAGCTCAGTCACAGAATCGTTTTCAGTGTCTGATGATGAATTATCCCAAAAAATACCTATCGCTGAATTCTGCAAGCGATTCTAATTCACTAATCGCTGGTCTAAAACCGCTTTTGACCTAAAGGGACACTTTTTGGACGCCATGAACGTTTCTCACTTTCCAGGCAGAAAGAACAGTAAAAGTGCAGGCAGGGCACAGGACAAAGCACTAGGGACAAAATTTAGGTGAAATTGTTTGATACAGTAATGTATGTATGTAATCTTTTAAGATTACAGTGTATTGTGTGTATGTCAACTTTTTACTTTTTTTAATCTCCAGCTGGATCCGCCCCCGTACATCCCCGTGGGTCCGCATTTCTCTGTGCAGGTGGTGCGACTGCACGGATTTTTGTGCGGATCTGCAGTGGCACCACCCGCACAGATGTGAACCAGTGGTAAGATGGACTTAATTTACCAATTGAAGCTGAACTCCAGCTAACACTTTAGAAACAGTTACAGCAAAGTTTCTTTTTCCTGTTGGGATAAAGGTTTTATACAAATGAGTAAAAGATGACCACTGTGATCACCAATTTAACAGTTTCCCAAAACAGTCACATTCAAAGCGTTCCGTGAATGGTAACTGTCACAGGTGCTTGTGCTCTCAACCGCACTGGAGATCAGAGGCTAAGATGGCAGCTTCATTGGCAGTAAAGAATATGGGGGCTGAGTTCCTTTTTAAAGGAATTTAAAAAATAACGGACTTACTGGCTGGATCACCAGGTGAAAATAAAGGGAAAAAAATCCAAAAAAAGGAAATGAATGCAGTCACATCTAAGGACTGGTAAGCTGCAATGTATTACATTTGTGCCTTTGGGTTTCAATACACTCTAGGCTTCATGCACAATGGCTTGTGAAAACAATCAGCAGTATTTTCTGCCAGAATTTGGCAGAAAAAAAAAACACCTATAATGCTGCAATATGTAGGCGTGTTTATGAGCATATGGCGTTTGCGTGTAAATGCATTCTACTGGCCAGAATATTAAAGTGGTTCCAAAGTGTCAAGGTTTTTTTTACCTTTATGTATTCTATGCATGAAGGTAAAAAAACCTTCTGTTTGCAACAGCCCTCCTAACACTTACCTGAGCTCCCTCTTAATCCAGCAATGTCAATGAGAGCCTAGGTTGTCCAGGGACTCTCACACCTTATTGGCTGAGGCAGATTCGGGAGCCACTGGCTCCCGCTGCTGTCAGTCACAGCTGATCAGGAGAGGGAGGGGTGGGGCTAAGCTGCATATACACGCAGAGCCACGGCTTGGGAGCACGCTTGCCTCCATAACAAACAGTTTGCTATGGAGGCACCTGACAGAAGGGAGGTGCCAGGACCACAAGAGAAAAGGAAGATCCAGGCTGTTCTGTGCAAAACCACTGTGCAGTGCAGGTAAGTATAGAAATGTTTGTTATTTGTATGAAAAAAAAAACAAGACTTTAACTCTGGGCAAATAAACCCAACCCAAACTCAACTCCGGGCAAATAAACCCAACCCAAACTCAACTCCGGGCAAATAAACCAAACCCAAACTAAACTCCGGGCAAATAAACCAAACCCAACCACAACTCCAGGCAATTAAACCCAACCCAAACTCAACTCTAGGCAAATAAACCCAACCCAAACTCAACTCCGGGCAATTAAAGCCAACCCGACCCAAACTCAACTCCGGGCAAATAAACCCAACCCGACCCAAACTCAACTCTGGGCAAATAAACCCAACCCAAACTCAACTCCGGGCAAAAAAACCCAACCCAAACTCAACTCCGGGCAAAAAAACCCAACCCAAACTCAACTCCAGGCAATTAAACCTAACCCAAACTCAACTCTGGGCAAATAAACCCAACCCAAACTCAACTCCGGGCAAAAAAACCCAACCCAAACTCAACTCCGGGCAAAAAAAACCCAACCCAAACTCAACTCCGGGCAAATAAACCCAACCCAAATACAACTCCAGGCAATTAAACCCAACCCAAACTCAACACAGGGCACATAAACCAAACCAAAACTCAACTCCGGGCAAATAAACCCTAACCCAAACTCAACACAGGTGCCCTGTGTTGAGTTTGGGTTAGGGTTTATTTGCCCGGAGTTGAGTTTTGGTTTGGTTTATGTGCCCTGTGTTGAGTTTGTTATTTGTATAAACCCAACCCAAACTCAACTCCGGGCAAATAAAAAATGTTCTTATGCAGTGGGGCTATACCTGCACTGCAAGGGTTACTGCTTGTTCATGTCTAGGGGAAAAAAAAAAATATATACTTATCTGCTCCTCCCCAATGCTAGACCAGTCTCCGCAGCGTTTGCACCCCCACACTGCAGTGTTATAGGGTTCTGATGTCATCAAGACCAGAGCAGGGTCCACAGCCCTGCACTGGACATGCTGATGCCAAGGGACGGACCACTGTCCGGTTGAGGGGGAGCACTATCTGCTGGGGCAGTGGAGGATCAGATCAGTAAATCAGTGTCTGCTCTCCCCTAGACAGAATGAGAAATTAACCTGTACAGTGCAGGCACTGCCCTACTGTAAGGGATGATTATTTTCCTCTGGTACTGTTAATAATCAGTGCAGTGCCCATGATCCCAGCCATGGCCAGCAGAGGGGCGGAGGTCTGTGGAATCATCATCAGACAGGTGTTAGGAATCCCCTCCAGTCTAAAGGGGAAGCACCCTAGTGATCAGGATGGTGAGGGATTGAGGAATTGTCTATTGATTCATCATAACCCTTCCAGAAGGTCTGCAGATTACACAGGGTTGATGGCACTCACCCAGATGAGATGATACAGGCAGAGCTGACAGTAATATGGATCTCACCCCCTCCTCTTCTCTCTCATCAGTTTGCTCCTTGCCAAGCACACTGGACTGTATTTGCCAACTCTGGCAATAATCCCCTCTTTATCTCCTAGGACCTAGGCTGACTACAGCCTCAGCTCTCTGATGATCCACAGGGCAAAGGTACTACAGTACGTCAATGGAGCATGTCCGCCATCTTTATTGTGGGCAAAGTACCAACACACAAACAGAACTATATTCCCAAACATAATGCCAGATCGAGTCATGATCACCCCGCCATAATAAATAACAATCCAGCGGCATTATTATCGATTTTTATCTTTTAGCTAAAGACTTAGTGAAATATAACCAGCATCGCTCTAATTCTATCCTTATGTCTCCTCGCTCGTTCATTGTGGTATCTATACTGTATGCCCCATTTTCAGTCTTGGCTCCACCCACCTTCTTCCGTCGAACGGCTGGCACGTGGTGTCCACCACTTTCCGCCCACTTCCGGCTTGGTAGCTAAGCAACGAAGACTCGTCCGTTGCCAGGCAACGAGGAGACGCGCCAACATCTTGGAAGTGAAGAGGAGCGAGCTGGGATCCGGGGTGATGGCGACGGCGTCCGCCCCTGTGGTTCAGTATGGCCGGAGGAAAGGCTCCAGCAGAGGACAGGCAGGTGAGCAGCTCAGGCTGGGCTCCATGCTGGCAGGGAAGAGGCACGGCTCTGGGCCCTGGAGAATGGAAGACATGGGGGTCACCTGTTCTATAGAGGAAAAATCATTTTTAGGCTAGGTTCACACCTCTGCAGTTTGCGTTTGATCCATTTCTGCAGTGCGTTTTGTGTTTTTTACACACGCATTTTG